AGCTGCTGTTCCTCTGGGGAATCCCGTGGAGAAGCTGTGCTGGTGTCTCAAAACCTCTGGATTATATCAGGGTAGGAATGCTTGGCTCCTCCCTCTGGGCTCACATCTCCCAGTGGGATGCTGTAGTTCTTATCAGCCATGCAGTGACATTCCATAGCTGTTATCAGCAGTGTCCCCTCCCGAGGGAGGTGTGAATGTGGTCATTCAAAGGCAAACTGCCCACTTGACAAAGATAATCTGCCATACAGAAATGGGGCTGGAAACAAAACCTGCACACCTGGGCCAGGACCAACACCCCAGGGCTGCCCCCCTTAGCCCTGAGCTGGGGATGTGTGGATGCCGTGGGACAGAGAGAGAGAAACAGGAAGGGTTTCTCACAGCGACTTGTGAGAAGTTTTAGGGAGCTGGAAAGATGTGATAATTTGTTGAGTATAAACAATTTGCAGGTGGTGTTTTTCTACTTTATTTTCTGTTCCTCTCAAGTGTCACAGACATCTTTTATGGAAAATCCTTTCCTTAGGATTTTTCCTCCTGAGAAGCTGAGAGGCCTCAGGAACAAAGTGTAACCAATGGTTATCTGCTGCTGTGGAATGCAACAGGTGCATCTGGGATTGGGCTCATGTGGTTGTTTCTAATTAATGGCCAATCACAGTCCAGCTGGCTCAGCCTCTCTGAGACACAAACCTTTGTTATCATTCTTTCTTTTTCTATTCTTAGCCAGCCTTCTGATGAAATCCTTTCTTCTATTTTTTTAGTATAGTTTTAATGTAATATATATAATGAAATAATAAATCAGCCTTGTGAAACATGGAGTCAGATCCTCGTCTCTTCCCTCATCCTCAGACCCCTGTGAACACGGTCACACTCAAGGACAGTGCGTGAGAAAGATGTTTCTGTTAGTTAGCCAATACAATAGTGTTGGGGAAGATGAAACAGGAAAGCCTTATAAATATGATTGTCTGGCAAAAGATTTTGAGAATATGGAAACTATAAGTGAGATGGAAATGAAAGCAAGCTTTGAGATCCCTCAGTTACTGAACAACTGGAAAACAATGGTGTGGCCAGCTGAAGGTGATCCCCTTTTGATGGAGCAACACCCTCTGCTTGCAGACAGGCCCAAGGGTCAGAGCAGACCCTGCCAGCTTGGCAGAAGGGGCCCAAAGAGGAGTTTTTAGGGTTTAAAATGTAACCCAGTGTGGTAATGTAATGATTCTTATAGGCTGTATGGAAATGCTCTAGGATTTGTATCTTGGACTGGATTGGTGAGTGAGAATCAGAATATTCAACACAGAAGATTTATTGTATTGGAACAGGAACCTCACTCTCTTGCCCTTTTACTCTCTCACCCTCTCATCCTCTCTGCCCCTCTCTTCTCTCAGGCCTGCTCTGAGCTGTGCCTGGCAGCTCCCAGCAGGGCCCTGCACCCAGGCCCTTTGCAATAAACCCCAAGTTCCTGACCTGGCTGCAGAGATCTCTCGTCTCCATCCATCCCCACCATCCCAGCCCCTGACTCTCCTACAGACAGAATCTATTGTACCACTCTATAAAAACCACACAGTTCTTCTGAATAAAACCTTCTTTGCCTTTTCTACCATCCTGCCTCTCACCTGTTCCTGCCCCAATCTTGGCACAAGAGTGACAGGGATGTTGCTCCCCAAGGGCTCTGTTCATGTGCTCTCTGCTGCCTGGCTGCAAAGCTGCCCCTGGATTTCAGTTCCAGACAGGTCCTTGCCCAGTTCCAGGGCTGTCACAGACGGAGCCTCTGGCTGTCACTTCAGCCTGTGCTGCTGCCAGGGGAGCAGCCCAGGTGGCTTCATGCTTTTCCAGCCAGCTCCCAGCTGGGCTCCTTGGTGGCTCCTGGATCCCTGCCTGCACAAATCCCTGAGCTGTGCTGGAATTCTGCCCTTCCTGCTGCCAGCTCTGCCTCCCAACAAGCAAACCACGGCTGCAGAGGGTACAGGAGCAGCCCTCAGCTTCCAGCACCTCTGGCACTGCAGGGGTTAATCCTGGGGGGTGAGGGGATTACAGGGCAATGGGAGAAGCACTTTGGGTTCTACTGGGAGATTTTTAGGGATTCAGAGGGGAAGGCACAGGGCAGTGCTGCCAGGTGAGCCTTGGTGGCTGTGCTCCCCCTGGCCTGCACCCACAGCCCTGGCTGGTGCCACCCTGGCGACACTGCCACCATGGGGACATTGTCAGGTTCTGTCTGGGGGCTGAGTTTGGTAGCAAAATCTCCAGACCTGGAGCTGCCTCTGTGTGTGAGCCCTTCCCAGCTCATGCTGGGGCTTTGTTGCCCTTCAAGGACCCAACCAGCTGCACCCTGCTCCATCCCTGAGTGTGGGAGATGCAGATTGTTTTCCATAGCTTTGTCCCTCCCTGATTTTGCTTCTCATGTCATCACCAGGTATTTGGCTCACCATCATCGACAAGGTTGAAGTGCCAGAGCATCGCTGGCACCCACAGTGCCCTCCCAGACAGCAGGATTTCCCTTGGGAATGCTGAAATCCTCAAGTCACATCCTCAAACAAAGGAGATGAGCCTGGAGGTCACATCCTGCTCCCTGCTGAAACCCTGCAGAGATGCCACCACCTTTGGGGAATGTGTAAGATAATTCTGGTAGGCACAAATATTGACTCCCAATTCTGTGCTGTTAAAAACACCTCAAAAACCAAGACAGTTCTGAAAAAAATTGCCAGATTATTTAAAAAAAACCCCAAAACACTTTCCCTTCAAAAAGTCAGAACCAAATGTTGAAACTAAAATGGTCCTCACGTTGGAAATTTCCTGCACGAGGGTGAGCCAAGGTGTCCCAGTGTGGAGCTGCTACAACCTGGCCACTTTCCTGAACACCTCAGATCTGCAGTGGGACAGGTGGACGAGGAAGAAGATGCCAACAATGACGGCAAAGCTGATGCCCACAGCCCTCATGACGAAGATGGACTCGGGGTCGCTGGGGCTGCGCTGGCGCCGGGGCTCGAAGGTGACAGTGAGCTGGAAGCCGGCCACCAGCTCGCCCTCCCGCCAGCAGAAGTAGGTGGCTTTGTCCCTCCTGCGCAGCCGCTGCAGGTGCAGGTGGTTCCCGTGGTCGATGAAGAGCCTCATGTCCTTCCTCACCCCCACCAGGTAGTGGGAGCGGTACAGCCGGACGGAGCCCTTGTCCCAGGCCACGGCGTGCTCCGGCCGCGCCCCCGGGCACGAGATCACCAGGTCAGTTTTGGGGGGCTGGTTGTGGTACTGCATGGGGACACGGGGCAGCTCCGGCTTCTCGCCCAGCTTGTAAACGACGTTGGAGATGGACTGCACGCCCTCCTCGGGGGCTTCCTTCTGCGGGCAAGGGGCCAGGCAGCTCCTGACGGCCACCTCGGGGCTGCGGAGGCGGATGAGGCGGCCGAAGGGTTTGGGCACGGCCCTGGAGCCGCAGGAGCTGACGTTGGGCAGCGCCGTGCGGTAGCGGGGCTTCAGCTGGGCACTCTGCACGTAACAGAGCCCGATCCGCCGCTGCTCGCCCCGCACCCCGCAGCGGTCGCAGCGCGTCCAGTCCCAGAAGGTGGTGAACAGGGTGAATTCCTTCTCTTTGTGGTCCTCTTGGACGTGCTGGTCTTTATCCAGGAAAGCCACGGTGATCTTCCTGGTGGGCTGCACGTCCACGTCGTAGCCGTAGAAGAAGAGCCCTTCCTTGGTGCCGCACAGGTAATGGCCAGAGTCCCTCACCTGGGCTCGGAACACGATCAGGCTGAACAGGCGGATGCTGAAGCGCTTCAGGAGGTCGCTGCCCGCGCGCACCTGCTTGGAATCCACGATCACGGTGCCGTTGAAGTCCGTCAGCACCGTGGTTTCGTGGCTGTGCAGGTTCTTCTGGAAGTACCAGACCACAGAGGAGGCCTCCTCGGGCTTGCACTTGCAGGGCAGCTCGAAGGTCATGTCGGCCAGGTAGGCGACATTCTCGAACACCAGGAAGGCGGGACACGCCGTCTTCTTGAACACATCCCCTTTCTTCTCAATGGCAAAGGCCTGGAGAACATCCAGCAGGGAGAGGAGAATGGTGGCTCCCAGCAGCCTCATCCCCATCACTCTGGGTGCTCTCTGGCCCAGCAGAACTCTCACAGCCCAAGCAGGGATCTGCTGGGAACATCCTGCCCTGGAACAGCCCAGCCTTTGTCACCCTCTCTGAAAGCAGCTCTGGAGCGTTGTCACCCACGTGCCTGGCAACAACGGAGCTGTGCTGGGGCCAGTGGAATCCCCAACATCTCATCATGGTTTGAGTTGGATGGGAACTTAGGGAGGATCTCTAGTGCAGATCAACATCTTCATGGCTGGTGCCATTGGGAAGGTATTGGCTTTTGGGGCGGAGAATTTTTGGGTTGTGCTTTAATGATGAGGTCAAAGAGAACCTTCAATCATGGGCTGGCCAGTCTGATGAGAAGGAAGGCTTTGGGGGTGGGTTCCAATGTTTGTGGAATGTTTGTGCCATTGCTTCCTCCTGGGGAGGAGACCAGGCTAGCCTGATGTTCCTTGGCTCGAGATGAGAGTCACAGGGCAAACCCCATCAGTGCTGTGTGTGGCTGTGGTGGAACCTCTCACACCCCACACAGCTTCTTGATCCCCTCTCCAAAGTGCCTGGACACAAAAAATCACAGCATGGGGAACAAACAAGAACTAGAAATGTGAGTGTTCAGTGGCAGGGCCATGACCCCACTGCAATGACAGTGACACAGTGGGACAGCTCACCTGACTGGGATGTTGTCATGGATGGCCTTGGCCATGTGCCCCCACAGCCCTCACCTGCACTCTGGGACACTCAGACCCCAACCCTGGCCCCCTGCCCAGGCCCCTCACAGCAGAGGCACCCACAGGCCCTGGGATGATGGAGAAGGAGGACAGAACCCAACCCCAGAGCCAGAACCTTTTCCAGGCTCCCCACACGAGGAGGAGGCAGGAGAGAACAGCTGCGTGCTGGCCCTTGGATTTGGGACAGAACAATTTATTAAAAACACAATAACCTATCTCCTAAACCCACTCATCACCTGCAAACACACATACAGCACTGAGCCAACAGAGGGGGCACAGACGCCGGCACGCTGCTGGAACCACGGCCAGGAGGGCGGCACGGGACAGGAGGGGATGCTCGGGGAGCTGGAGGAGGAGCTGGAGGCCTTGGGGGTTTGGGCGCTGGGAGAGGAGCTGGGGGGTGGGCTCGGGAGGGCTTCCCGGAGCTCTGGCTGCTGCTGCTGCTGCTCAGCGCTCGGGGGAAGCAGCTCTGGGGCCGGCCCGGGCAGGGGGCTGGGGGTCCGTGCTGGTGCCGCGGTGCCCGGGCTCTGGGTGCCCGGCGGAGGGGAGGGCTGGCGGCTGGCACTGCGGGGCTCCGGGGACACGGGGGAGCTCTGCTCTGCCTTCCTACAGCCCCGCTGGCGCTTCCTCCGGGTTCGGGAGCCGCAGGAGTTTTCTGATTGGGAATCGCTGCTCGACTCGAGCATCCTCTTCACCGGCCAGACAAAGATGGGCTTGGGAGTGGAGCACGGAGAGAGCTCCTGGCTGCATTGCGGGGCCGTGCTGGGCACAGGGGGGTCTGGCATGGTGACAGGAGCCTCGGCTAAAAGAGCAGACAAGAAAGAGAATCATCTCCGTGTCTGCAGCTCGGGAGCACCCCCAAGCCCCATGTGCCCCCAGCTCAGTGCAGAGCTGCCCTCCCAGCCCCGCAGGAGCCCTTTGCCCGCGGCTGTTCCATCAAAGCACATCCAGCCCCGAAGAGCCAGCATAGGCGCCGGGCCAGCCCCACAGCCAGCGCCCCGGGGCAGTGCCTGCGCTGTCCCCGGGTTCTGGAAGGTCCAGGGGGGTCCAGAGGGGTCCTGGAAGGTTCAGGGAGGTCCCGAGTGGGTTTGGGAGGTCCCGGAGAATTCCGGAGGGTCCGGGAGGGTCCAGGGGAGCTCCCAGGGACTCCCCAGGGCTCTGCAGAACCGCAGCTCCCCGCCAGGACCGCGCCGTGGCACGGAGGGTGAGGAGGATGAGGAGGAAGAGCTCAGCCCTGCTCAGAGCCGGCTGAGGCTCCATCCCGGCTGGCTCGGGCAAGGGAACCAGGGAGGAGGAACGGAGACGGGAGAAACGCGGCTCAGAGCGGCTGCTTTGGGCTCCTGGGGCCGGGACAGCCCCTCCCGTGGGAGCTGCCTCGCACACCGGGGCTGAGCTCCCCCCGAGCCCCGGGCTGCTCCCGGCTCCTCCCGAGGAGCTGCCGAGCTCGGATCGCTCTGCACAGCGAGGCCACTTGGTGACACTGGGGACACGCCCGTCCCCTGCCCCCTGCCCACCGCGGGCTCCTCCAGCCCCCATCGAGACACAGGAGAGGGGCCAACCCTCACTGTCCCCATCCCAAATCCTCACCTGTACAGCTCAGCTGCGTTCCTGGGGCTGGGGCAGCCTCGCTGGGCTCTTCGAGGCAACAGGGGAGTGCAGCTTCCTCCAGCCCTGGGGACTCCTCCAGCCCTGGGGACTCCTCCAGCCCTGGGGACTCCTCCGGCCCTGGGGACTCCTCCGGCCCTGGGGACTCCTCCAGCCTTATGGATTCTTCCAACCCTGTGGACTCCAGATCTTTGGGCTCCTCCAGCCTTGTGGACTCCTCCAGCCCTGTGGTCTCCTCCAGCCCTGTGAGCTCCTCCAGCCCTGGCGACTCCTCCAGATCTTTGGGCTCCTCCAGCCTTGTGGTCTCCTCCAGCCCTGTGAGCTCCTCCAGCCCTGTGGGCTCCTCCAGCCCTGTGAGCTCCTCCAGCCCTGTTGTCTCCTCCAGCCCTGTGAGCTCCTCCAGCCCTGTGGGCTCCTCCACATCCTTTGTCTTCTCAGTAATTTCATCAGGGCAGAGGCTGTGAGTAGAGATTTGGGGTAAGAGTGTCAAACTTGGAACATGGGACATTGCCAAGCTGCAAATCCCCTCCTGGAGAGCCTGAGCTGTGAGGTGTGTGTGCACCTGTGGGTGACAAGGGACCCGGGACAGGCCAGCATCTCCAAGCACAGCCCTGGTCCCACATCCACCCAACCATGGACAGCCTGGTCTGCCCAGGCTGAGAGGAGGGAGTGGGACATGGAGAGGACACAAGGACACTCACTTCTGCTCCTGGTCCTGCAGGTCCTGCTGAAGGGGACTTGGTGTCCTGGTCTGGAACTGCAGATCGGGCGGGGAGGCTGTTCTGGAGCTGCAGGGAGACACCCCGGGGTCCTGCAGGGACTGGGATCAGGCAGGGGTTAAAACACAACGGTGCAGCACAGACCCATCTCCGGGGCTGCTCCTCAGCCTCCTCCAGGCTCCAGGGGCCCTGGTGACACCGGCAGGGGCTATTTACAGACCACGAACGGGACAGGGCTGCTGGGAAAGTGCCTCGAGCTGGTTTATTTTCCAGCATCAGTCTCATTACACGGGTATGACAATGGGAAGATGCCAGCAGCTCACACTCCAGGCAGCAGACCAAAAAACTTAATGTTACAGCTCACTTTATAAACTTCTTGACCAATCACACAAAGCAAAAGCACATTGACAGTAGTTCTATCCAATCACCATAAGCGCACGTGCCTTTAGTTAAAACAGTGCTTGCTTATTTCGAATACAATACCCACTTGTAAGCCTCAATGCACAGAGCTCCATTATGAAGCTTTAACCTTCCTAATATCTTGCTAGATAAACTTTCTGTAGCTTAGAGAGCTATTCAGACAAGCATTAATACACAGACCATTGTTCTATTTACCGTTGCTTTTCTACAGTTTAAATCATTTTTCTGCTGACCTATCTCATGGCTGCTGCTTTAGCTCTACTCACAATTCTGCTGTATCTGAGGCCTGCCTTTTGCAGCTTTCCCAAACCCCTCTGATTTTATGGATTCCCACACCCGGGTGGCCGCAGGGGACACGATCTGTGCCCAGAGACCTGGCAAAAGCGCCGCGGGCTGTGGGCTGAGCAGCTTCAGCAGCAGAGCAGGCACACAGCTGAACCTCCATCGGCACCTCCTGCCCTCAGCGCACCCCCGCGCTGGGAGATTCCCTCTGGGTATGGAAAGCACCCACCAAGGCACCCCACCACGGCCCCTCCTGCCCGCAGGCAGCAGCGGGGCCCTCGCGGTGCTCACCGGCAGCAGGATGTGCCGGGCGCGGCTGGCGAAGCGCAGCGTGCTGTAGGTGTCGGGGCCGGCGGGCGCCGCGGGGCTCACGGCAGCGATCACGGTGCTGCGGAAGCTGCCCACCAGCGAATCCTTCAGCAGCAGCGTCAGTTTGCTGTCCCGGAACGGCACATGGCACTGCCCGCCCTGTCCGAGACAGCGCTCAGCTCCGGGCCGTGGGGACACCATCCCGGAGCCGGCCCGGGGAACCAGACTCACCTTGGCTCCGGCCAGAGCACGGACGACGCTTTTGAAGGCCAGCAGGGAGCGGTTGATGCTGGTGCCCTCCCACATCCCCTCTCCCCGGCCCGGCGTGTCCCAGGCTCGCTCCGAGCCCGCCAGGTCGATGAAGCTCAGCTTGGCCACGCGTGGCTCCCCACCGGTGAGGTCCCAGTGCTTCACCTGGATCTGGGGACAGAGGGGGCTGAGATGGCTCCACACAGGCTCTTTCCAGGGCAAGAGCCAGGAAATCCAGACGGAGGAGAGGAACTTGGCATGTTGAAAGGATGAGCCAAACACCCGGTGATGACACAAGGAGCAGAGCCAGGGAAGGGATGTGGCAGGGAGGGACAGCTACGGGAACAATCAGCACCTCCCAGACTCGATGGTAGAGAGGGGTATGGCTGGGCAGGTCCTCAGAGGGAGGAAAAGCTCCCCTTTCCCAGCTCCACCTGGGCTGCTCCCCTGGCAGCAGCAAGGGGCGAGGCCGCAGGCTCAGGCTGGAGTGACAGCCCTGGAACTGGGCAAGGACCTGGCTGGAACTGCAATCCAGGGGCAGCTTTGCAGCCAGGCAGCAGAGAGCACAAAACAGAGCCCTTGGGGAGCAACATCCCCAGCTCAGGGCTGGGGGGACAGCCCTGGGGCTGCCCAGGTGTGCAGTTTGTTTCCAGCCCCATTTGCAGCAGAGGCAGCAGCCCTCACCTGGAAGATGGCGTGGGAGCGGGAGGAGGCGGCGTTGGCCTTGGTGGAACGCTGGGCCCGGTTTTTATTGCCTTTGGCCAACAAGTCCAGGAGCTGCTCTGGGGTCGTGGGCTGGGGGAGAAGGGGCAGGGGCTGGGTCAGCACCTGGGCAGGGCAGCCCGAGGCTGAGCAGCCCCAGGCAGTGGCAGCTCTGCGGGGCCCTGGCAGCTCAAGGCCACCTCTGCTGCCAGCCAGGAGCCAGGAGCACCTGGGACCAGCTGCTCCCCAGGGCTCCCAGCTGCTCCCAGCACCGGTGCAGATGAGTCTGTCCCAGCCCTTGTGCCCAGACCTGGTGCAAGGAGAGGCCCTGTGCCACGACTCCTTTCCCAGGCTGCTCCCAGATGTTCAGAGGGCCCTGGGGCTTCAGCAGGTCATAGACACGCTCCTTGTACACCTGGAGCAGGAAATCGAGGTCAGGCTGAGGTTTCATTCTCTGGGAGGGAGCTGGGTACCCCTGCAGGGTCTGGCACAGCCAGGGGTTCCCCCTGACCCCACCTCTGGCACCTCATTCCACCAGAGCAGCTGATGGGGCTCAGAAGGCAGGGCCAGCTCCCAGAGCTTTGCTGGGCACTTCCCCCAACCCTGCTCCTCTCCAGCCCTTCCAGCCAGGAGGCCCTCACTGCTCTGTGGAGCACAGCAAGGGAGAGAAAAGCCCCAGCTCCAGCTGAGAGGGAGGAACAGCAGCAATTCTCTCCTCCAGGTGGATGATCCTGCTCCCAGCCTGGCTGTCCCCAGGCGTAGCAGGGGACACTGCAGGTACCCTGAGTGTGGCTCTGGATCAACCCCAAATCTCTTCCCTGGGGACCCTTAGGGAGGAGGGAACACACTGAGCCACAGCAAACCTGCTGGTAGGAGACAAGGACCTCACAGCTCCTGTCCTTCATGGCCTCGAGCCTCTTGTAGAGCTCCACCGTGGCCAGGTGCACAATGCCAGGAGTGCTCTTGGTGCCCATCATGGTGTGGGTCTTCCCAACCCCTGAAGCACCGTAGGCAAACACTGGAGGGAGAAGGGATGGGAGGTGAAATGATCTAACAGCAGGAGAGGAGAGGAGAGGAGAGGAGAGGAGAGGAGAGGAGAGGAGAGGAGAGGAGAGGAGAGGAGAGGAGAGGAGAGGAGAGGAGAGGAGAGGAGAGGAGAGGAGAGGAGAGGAGAGGAGAGGAGAGGAGAGGAGAGGAGAGGAGAGGAGAGGAGAGGAGAGGAGAGGAGAGGAGAGGAGAGGGAGAGGGAGAGGGAGAAGAAGGAGAAGGAGAAGGAGAAGGAGAAGGAGAAGGAGAAGGAGAAGGAGAAGAGAGGAGAGCTTATCTGCTTCCCACAGAGATAAGACACAAGGTAAAACTCATAACTTTCCCCACTGCTCCTCAGGGCAGTTTTTCTCCCTGGTTTCAGCCTCTCCAGTGCAGCAGGGACAGAAGGAGTCTCCAGGTGAGTGCTGCTCCCATGCTCAGGTCAGCTCTGACCCTCTCCCCACGAGGCATTTCTGTTTCCTCTCTTTCACCCCCATCTTCCAGCACCTCCTCTGAAGCCTCCCCATCAGGGTGGGATGCACTGATCTGGATTTTCAGCCCTCTCCCAAGAGCAGCACTCCGTGCTGGGGCCTGGGGACAGGGGCAGCCCTTCAGTGGCTCTCAGGAACCGCCGGGAGCTGGAACAGCATCCCCTGGTTTGAGCTCCTGGTGCAGGGAGAGCCCAGGGAGTGCTGGGCTCCTCCTGGGAATGCTGCTGTGATGTGGGAACAGCTCTGGGGCTGCAGCAGCAGCAGCTCAGGGCTGTGGGAGCTGTCCAGGGCCTGTCAGACCCGGCTCTATGGAGCCATTCCTGCCTGGAAAGGGATAGCAAAGCCAAGGGGCTCTTTCTCCATGCATCCACCACATTTCTACCCATCCTTCCTGACCCAGGACACACAAGAGCAAGTAATCCTTTTTCTCAAAATGCCTGGCCAGCTCCTGCCCAGGGAGGAGGGCAGGCTGTGGGAGGGGACTGTGTCTCAAAGGGATTTAGGGTCCTTGGGAAGTCTCTGGGGGTCCAGGGGAGCAGTAGGAGCATGAAGGGGTTTGTAGGGTCGTTTGGGATCCAAAGAGACCCAAAGAGAGGCCAGGGTTTGGGGAGAGGCTGTGGGAGCCTGAGGGGGTTCAGGCTCATGGGGAGCTCCAAAGGGGCACAGGATTGGCACAGGGAGGGGTGGGCACAGACCCTGGGGAGGGATCTCTCTCCCCCAACGCCCAGATCCATCCTCTGCACCCCATTCCCAGAGTGCTGAGCACTGCTGGAACCAGCTCTCTTCAGGCTGTGTGATTTTGGGGTTGTGGCACCCCATTCCCAAAGACACACGGGGGCTTCCAAATCCAATGCTGAGCGGCCCCAGCCCGGGAGGGGATGGGGCAGGAGCTCCTGCAGGGATCAGGGCTGTGTGAAGGACTCACCGGAGCAGTTGTAGCCAGCGAGGAGCGTGTCCAGCAGAGGGAGCGTGGTGTGCTGGAACACCTCCTCCTGCGTGGCCCTCTCGCCAAAAACGTGGTCGAACTCAAACTCGAGGTTCCTGCGGCGGCGGCCGGGGCCGGTGCCGGTGCCGCCGGGCTCCTCGGAGGTGAAGAGCACGGCGTGCTGGTTCAGGACGTGCAGGATGGAGGGTGCAGCTCGCTCCCGGCGGTTGGGGGGCCTCACACGCAGCACCACGGCCACGGAGCCCTCCTGGGGCGGGGGCTCTGCCCCCCAACAGGCACCTGGGGCTGGGCCATCGGCCTGCTCGGGGCTCCCCATCCACTGATCCGGGTCCTCGTGTGGTCTGGGGGGATAATTTCAGCTGCAGGGTGCAGTGGGGAAGAGAGATCCCCAGGCTGGGCGAGGTCTCAGAGCCTTCCCCCCTCCCCAGGGTCTGTGCCCACCCCTCCCTGTGCCAGTCCTGTGCCCCTTTGGAGCTCCCCATGAGCCTGAATCCCCTCAGGCTCCCACAGCCTCTCCCCAAACCCTGGTCTCTCTTTGGGTCTCCTTGGATCCCAAACGACCCTACAAACCCCTTCATGCTCCTACTGCTCCCCTGGACCCCCAGAGACTCTCCAAAGACCCTAAATCCCTTTGAGACACAGTCTCCTCCCACAGCCCAACATCCCCCTTCCAGCCCACTCAGTCTACCCCTCTTTTGGCCCCCACAGCCCCTCTCACAACAGAATCCCAGAATCACATAAACACAGAATCCCAGAATCACAGAAACACAGAATCACAGAATCCCAGAATAATGAGGTTGGAAGAGACCTCTAAGATCATCAAGTCCAACCCATGCCCTCACACCTCACCTGGACAATAGCACCATGCCCAGTCCTTTTTTAAACACACCCAGAGATGGTGATTGTGCCACCTCCCTGGGAAGAGCATTCCAGTATTCATTACTCTTTCCCCGCCCCTATCACTCCTCAGAGCCCCATCCCACAGCCCTGCAGACCCCCGTGTCCCTGTCCCGGCCCCCAGAACTGACCCAGCACCCACGCCTGGGGTCGGCATGGCCGGGCAAGGGACGAGGCACAGCCCCGGTCACCGGGAACGCCGAGAGCGGAGCGCGGCTGAGCGGGGACAGCCCGGCCGTTGTCACTCGGGATCCGCCGGTGCCTGGCAGCCCTGGAACGTTGTCACTTGCGCCGCTGGTGGCCATGGCGCCGTGCCGGGAACAACGGAGCCCCCGAGGATTCATTGCCGTGGAATGACAGCGTCACTGGCGGGTTTGGGCTGGACCCTGAGCGGTGATCTCGGCACCCCCTGCCTCGCCCTCTTCTGGCCGCTCCTCTCCTGCTGCAGCCCGGGATGTGTTTGGTGTTTGGCTCGGGTGCAGCGTTTCCTCCACCAGAACCCCCCAGTCCTTCTCTGCAGGACTCTCAGCTCTTCTCCCACTCTGTGCTGGTGCAGCCCCTTCCCTTGGCTTTACCGAACATCCCTGCGTCCTCTTGGTCCCACTCCTCGAGCTTGTCCAGGTCCCCCTAGATGGCACCAGCACTGCAGCTTCGTGTCACCTTTGTGAACGCGCTGAGGGTGGCCTTGAGCCGCTGTGTCAGTGAGGAGGGGACTGCAGTGACACCCAGAGCCCTCAGGGACATCCTCGTCACCAGCCTCCCCCAGGACAGGGAGCCACTGCACCCAGCCAGCCCCTGACCCCCCTCTCACAGCCGTGTCCCCCCAGCTCGGGGATGAGGATGGATTTTTGAAGGGGATGAAGGCAGCTCCAGGCAGAGGGTGCAGCTGTGGATTGGGGTGTCTGGGGATGGGGATTGGGGTCTCTGGGGATTGGGGTGCCTGGGGATGGGGATTGGGTGTCAGAGGATGGGGATTGGGGTGCCTGGGGATGGGGATTGGGTGTCAGAGGATGGGGATTGGGGTGCCTGGGGATGGGGATTGGGGTGTCAGGGGATGGGGACTGGGGTATCTGGGGATGGGAATTGGGGTGTCAGGGGATGGGGATTGGGGTCTCTGGGGATAAGGATTGAGGTCTCTGGGGATTGGGGTGTCTGGGGATGGGGATTGGGGTCTCTGGGGATTGGTGTGCCTGGGGATGGCGATTGGGGTGCCTGGGGACTGGGGTATCTGGGGAAGGGGATTGGGGTGCCTGGGGATTGGGGTGCCTGGGGATGGCGATTGGGGTGCCTGGGGATGGGGATTGGGGTGTCAGGGGATGGGGATTGGGGTGTCAGGGGATGGGGATTGGGGTGCCTGGGGATGGGGATTGGGGTCTCTGGGGATAAAGATTGAGGTCTCTGGGGATTGGGGTGTCTGGGGATGGGGATTGGGGTGCCTGGGGACTGGGGTATCTGGGGAAGGGGATTGGGGTGCCTGGGGATTGGGGTGCCTGGGGATGGCGATTGGGGTGCCTGGGGATGGGGATTGGGGTCTCTGTGATGGGGATTGGGGTGCCTGGGGATTGGGGTGCCTGGGGATGCTGCTCTGTCACAGTTTGGGGTGTGCAGTGAGGGTCCCTCGTGCTGAGGAGCACATTTAGGGCACAAAGCTGGTGGGGCAGCTGCCCTGGGAGCTGCAGGGAAATGCCAGAGCCCCCAGCAAGTGGGCAGGAGCTGGCACTGACCCAAAGGGCCCTGCAGTGCCAGGCAGGGCACTGGGACACAGCAGGAGAGGATGGCTCAGCAGGAACACCCCACTGCCAGGAGGGGATGGAGGTTCTTTGTTGGGATGAGCCCCAGAGGCTCCATCTCAAGCTGTTACTGAGCTGCTGCAGCACAATAAAATTCCTTAAAGGAGCCAGAGCCTGGGACTGCTCTCTGGGAGCCCTGGGGCTGAGCTGGAGAGGAAACCAGGAGCAAATGTGGGATGGGGTGTGGGGAACCAACAGGGCCCCCGGGGCAGTCTGGGGAGGGAGTGCAGCTGCCAGAGCAGCTCCAGGATGGGTGACAGGGAAGTTTCCTGAACAGTTTCTGACCCAGATGCACCTCAGGTCACCTTCCTTCTCCAAACATCCAACTGCAGCACCAGGTGACTGACCCAGTATGTCAATATGGAGGGAACAATCAACTTTTTTTTGTGATTTTATATTGATAATCTTTTCTGGCCTATGGCAACCCTGTTGACCTTAATTTTATTGCTTGGTACCTGCAATAATGATGTGTATCAGGGCAGTGTTAAATCCCTTGAAACTTTTGCTTTTGACTATATTAGCAGGAATGTCCTGTTAAAAACAATGGAGGAATTCCTGGTGAGGAATCTCTGGAGCTGCTGCTGTGAAGGGGCTTCAGTCCCAGTCTAGAGGGGCAGGAATGTGACTGCCAGAGGGGCTCTGGGATGGATGGATGGATGGATGGATGGATGGATGGATGGATGGATGGCCAGAAAGGTTCCTGAACAATTGCTGACCCATGGGATGGATGGATGGATGGATGAATGGATGACCAGAAAGGTTCCTGAACACTTGCTGACCCCAGCCCACCTTCCTTCTCCAAACACCCAACTGCTGCTGCTGGATGAGTTCACCTGGCATCCTTGAAGCAGAGAGGAAACAAAAGGAGAGTGTTAAAATTTCTTGAGCAGATTCCACACCAATTCTAATGAGTCTCTCCGTTGTGCAGCATTTTGCTGCAGTTCTGCAGTGGATGGAGCACGGGGCTGGGCTGTGGGCTCAGGGGAGCAGGCTCTGAGGCAGGCTGGAGCGAGCCTGGAGCCCTTTAACCATTTTATAGGATGCAGTATGAAATGTTTACAATCCTGGGCTGTACCGTGTGCTGGGCGCTGTGTTTGGTGCGCGGTGATTCCTTCCCGAGGCACTTCCAGGGCAGAGCTCCCGAGCTGCCCGCGCTGTGCAGCCGGGCCGGGCTGGGCTGGGCACAAACCCCGGGGAAGGAGCCGCTCCCTCGGGAATGCTGCCGGTGCTCAGGGAGCCTCCGGGGGTAGGGGATCCCAGGGCAGGGAGAAGGGGATCCAGGGCAGGGAGAGGCGCCCCGGCTCCAAGCCGCTCCTGTAACTGTTTAGGCCATAGAGGTGACACTGTCCCCTCAGGGCCCGCTCAGCCCCTCACGACTTGCCGCCCTCTTCAGCCACGGCCTGCGCCTCTTCTGGGGCCCCAGAACCCCTCGCACTGTACCCACTTAGTGCACTAACACTAAATCCGGCCCCGGCCCCGGCCCCGGCCCCGGCCCCGGCCCCGGCCCCGGCCCCGGCCCCGGCCCCTCCGTTTCAGGCGGGTTCCAGCTCCCGCGCCACCTTTAAATTGCCCGCGAGGCCCCGCCCTACTTCCTGATTGGCCCCGCGCCACTTTCCGACTCCCATTGGCTGCGCCCCGCGCGGTGCCTCATGGGGGTTGTAGTTCCGAGCCCCGCGCGATGCCCTATGGGAGCTGCGGACTCGGCGACGCCTGCGCCCCCTGCCGGCGGCCGCAGCGGCTGCAGCTCCGAGCCCCGGCGGGCGGCGGAGAGGGGAAGGTGCCGGGGGTCCCGGGGGGTCCTGGAAGGTCCAGGGGGATCCCGGGGGTCTTGGAAGGTCCCGAGGGGGCTTGGGAGGTCCCGGAGGGTTCCGGAGGGTCCGGGAGGGTCCCTGGGTTGCGCTTCGGTCGCGCCGTTCTCGGGGACCTTCTGCTCGAAGCTGCGATCCAGCCCCGGCCCCTCCGCCGCCTCCAGCCGGGATCGGTGCTGGGGAACAGCGCCGGGAGCCGCAGGGGCTTGGGACACAGACGGAGAGCTGGGGGAGGGAGCACAGCTGGAACACGCACACACATCTGGAACGAACATACACATCTGGAACAAACACACACACATCTGGAACATACACACCTCTGGAACACACACACCCCCCTCTGGAACACACACACACACCCCTGGAACACACACACACATCTGGAACACACACACACCTGGGGGCACGCACATCCCCGTGACACAGACAGACTCACCTGAGGGACATATGCACACACCTGGGGACATGAACACTCATTCTTGGGGACACACGGACACACACATACAGCCAGGAGGACACCCAGCCCCGTCCTGTCCCCAAGGCCACTCCGTGTCCCCAGGGCTCCCATCCTCTGTCCCCACCACAGCCGCTGGCCCCGGGCTCCCGCTGTCACCTCGAATCGCGCCGCGTCCCGCCCGTGCCGAGGCAGCGGTGACGGGCGCGAGTGCCCGGGGGTCCCGGTGGCTCCGTGTGTCCCTCCCCCAGCAGTGGCCGTGCTGTGTCTCGCAGGGGACACCCCCTCATGGGGACAGGGCTGGGGTGAGGGCGGCACCCAAGCGTCGCCATGACGGCGGTGCAGGGACACGGAGCCGCTCGTGGCTGGGCCGGTTTGATAAAGAAGCGGCCTCGGGGTGGGAGGTGTTGGTGGTGGCACAAAGACCCCGTCCCCCGCCGTTGGGGACACTGGGGACACACACAGCAGACCGGGACAGATCACAGCTCTGCTTTACCATGTTGTCACCTCGGCGGGCGCGGGGGGGGCAGGAGGGCGGCTCCCCCCGCCCCAGCACAGCCCCCCCGGCCCGGGGAGCCCCGAGAGCCCCGGCAGCGCCCCAGGGCGGGCGGAGAGCGGCGGCGGGACGGGGGGGGCACAGCCGGGAATGGGGGGCAGCGTGGGGGGCACCCCCAGCCTCCTGCCACCCCCAAACCTCTGCAGCCCCCAGCCCTTGTGTGAGCTGACGGGAAAAGGAGGGCTTGGGGCAGCCGGGAGCGCGGGGAGGGGGATCCGGGGGCGGGCAGGGGGTGCCGGGGGGGATCGGGGAGAGCTGGGGGGCAGCAGGGAACAGAACCACGGCCCAGGGACGCCGTGGGACTGCGGGGTCACTGCGGGGAGGCCGGGGGGGATGCGGGGGGCGCCGGGCTCAGTCCGAGTAGATGATGAAGCCGGAGAAGGTGCTGTACTTGTTGTTGTTGCCGCCGTGGGCTTTGCCCCCGTCCAGCTTGATGAAGACCTCGTCCCCCGCGTCCAGGTGCAGGATGACGCTGTTGCTGGCGTAGTCGTAGTTCTGGTCGGCGTCCTGAGCGATGGCGCTGGCCCGGACCTGCCCAGGGAGGGGACACGGCGGGACCGGCTCAGGGCACGCCTCGGTCCCGCCTCACGCACATCAGATCCACCCGCCCCGGGGGAGCCAGGGGTGCCCGGGATCCCCCCCGTGGGTGAGCGGGTCCCGGGGGGGAGGCAGCACCGCCCGGAGCCCCCCCGGACCCGGCGGGCACCGAAACGGGAGCGCGGCGCTGGGTTCGACGGGGACGGTGCCACTGGGTGTGACTGCGGGTGTGGGGTCAGGGGCGGGATTACAGCCCAGACACAGGACCCCACCGTGGTACAGGAGCGCAGCTCTGACACAGAACTCCAAATGCAGGTTTGGATACAGGAATGTGGGTCAGACACAGCACCACAGCTCTGACACGGAACACCAAATCCAGGTTTGGATCCAGGACCGTGGGTCAGATGTGGGACCATGGTCTGACACAGAACCCCAAATCCAGGTTTGGATCCAGGTTTGGACACAGGACCGTGGGTCAGATGTGTCACCACAGCTCCACATGGGACCACGGCTCTCCCACAGGACCCTGACTCCAGGTTTGGACGCACAGCTCAGACACAGGACCTGGTCTCTGGGTTTGGATCCAGGGCCGTGCCTGGGACACAGCACCCATCTCCCAGCCCAGCCCCAACCCAAACCCTGAGCCCTGCATCCCGCAGCGCTTCCCGGGAGCTGCACGGGGACCGTGAGCGTGTGGCGAGGGCTGAACCCCCATCCCGTGACACAGACCCGCACCCACCGCGGGACAGGATGCTCCCCCCAGAAACCCCCAAAGGTTTCCTGGGTGCCGGCAGGGCCGGAGGAGCCGTCACCGCCCGCAGGAGCGGTTCCGTGGCTGGAGCCGCTGCAGAATTCTTTGGGTAATCAAATCTCCGCCGGAGCCTCGCGGGGAGATCGCGGCGCTGGGTGACAGTGACAAGGCGGCTGCTGAAATCCCAAGTGAAATGCAGAAGCGCTGCGCCGGGAGAAGGTGCCGCTAATTACGAGCGACGAGAATCGGCTCTTAATTGGCTCGCATGGGCGAGCGGCTGCGGTGTCCCGGAGCGGTGGGACAAGGACGGCTGTCCCCTGCAGTCCTGTCCTTTGTCCCCAGGACAGGAGTCCCGGGGGACCACTCCTCACCCAGCTGCACCTCACCCGCAGCCTGCCATGCTGGGGCGGGACGCTGTAAACTCTGGAACCTACAGAGGGCCAGGCTGGTGGTGCCACAGGACTCACTTTTAACATTCACCCCGTTAAAATCACCCTGTGCCCACCCTGCCACCGCGAGGGTTCCCATTGCAGGTGGGGGACCCCGAATCCCGGTCAGTCACAGCGCCCCAATCTCCTGGGCAGTCCTGCTGCGGAACGGGAGCGAGGGAAGAAGCCGTGAGGAAGAAGAGCCAGGAAAAGCCATTTGGCGGCGTCCCCCCCGCCACAGCTGGAGCTGCCCGGTGCCATCCGTCTTCCCTCGTTAAGGAGCCGCCTCATCACGGCGCGCCCGCCAGCCCTCGCTAACCAGGGAAGATAAATGGCAGCGCTGGGCCCGGGCTGAGCCGCTGCCGGCACCGCAGCGGCACAGGAGGGGCGCTGCCACCACGGCCACCCGCGACGGCTTCACCCCTTTGTGCTGTTCTGTGCCTCAGTTTCCCCATGGCGCTGCCGGGAGCTGGGGGTGGCATGGCCCCAGCCTGGGCTCTGACCCCAGTGACAATGCTGGGGGTGTCCCCGGCGCTGGGGACACTCTGGAGGGGTCCCCAAGGTGGCTGCACCCGAGAGCTTTCAGCAGCCAGGGGACAGTGGGGCGCTGCCATGTGCGGTGACACTTGGGGCCTCGGGGACACCACGTGCCCCATGTGCCACCATGGCCCAGCAGCACCTCAGGGTGTCCTTTGAGACCCCAAATGCAGTGGCAGATGCTCCTCAGGATCCTCGGGCCCAGCTCTGGGTGCCCCCCAGGGCCCTTGGGTGCACCAGCAGCTGCACCCCGAGCCCCAGACAGGGCAGTGGGAGCCCCCAGGACCCTCCAGCACGTCCTTGTGTACCATTGGGGACTGTCCCCAAGAGTCCCCTGGGGCTGTGACCCTCCCTGAGCCTTCTGGGGCATGGCCTTCTACAGCATGGGAACCCCAAAACCACCTGGTACCAGCCCTGCCCATCAATCAATTAATCAATCAATTAATCAATCAATCAATCAATCTGTCCCTCCGTCCGTCCACCTCTCACTGCCCTTGCCTCAGCTACGGGCTAATACAAATAATAATTAATGCTAATTAACCACCAGCAGCAGCTCCCCTGGCTCTCATTAACTCCAGCCCCGACTCAACGGTGATGGGCAGCCCCCAAACCGGCAGCACCGAGGGGATTTTTGGGGGGCCAGAGGGGGTCCCCCAAATTCTGACTGGCTCTGAATATGCCAGGATCGACCTTTATCTGCAGGGAACCCACACCATGCCAGGAACGGGGGATTTTTGGCAGCAACCCCCTAAATAACCCCGTTTTTCAATTATTTGGGCCATTGAGGGGGATCTTCTTTCTAGATATCGATGCGGCGATGCCTTGTTAGTAATTAACAAGCCGTTAATTAAGTTGCATCGCCCGCCCGAGCGCAGCTCCTCTTGACAAGGGGCTCCATAGCTCCTGGAAATTCATCCAGAAATGTCGATGCCCCACAGATCTGAGGGGGTAGGAAGATTTGGGGTGGTCCCCAAAAAGATTTTGGGGGAAGCCAAAGGGTTGAGGGGACTTTTTGGGGTGCTTAGTCCGGAGTGCTTGGGAGAAAGAGCCAGAAGTGCCAAGAGGCGCTGGAACCCCCCAAAATTTAAGGCTGGAGGGCGGGGGAGGACAAAAATAATCTCAATAAAAGGAAATTGGAAGTGTTTGGATGGAGAAAAGCTGCCGAGCGAGCGGCTCCTGCTGTGCTCCCGCTCGGAAGGGCTCGGGGAGGGTGACAAAGCTCCCGCTCCTCCTCACAGCCCGGCTCTTTTTGGGGTGATAACTCAGTTTTGGGTTAATTCGGGGTCCTGGATCCTCAGGACAAGGATGCAGCGCGGGCTGTGGTGCCGGAGGAAGCGCCAGGAAGCGGGAGCAGAGTGGATGGACCCGCAGGAATGCCGGCTGCGGTGACATCCAGGGGAACTGAGCCCGGTGACATCCCCGGGGGGACACAGCCACATCGCGTCCCTCGAGTCGCGGCCGGGAGGGGGACACGGCGTGGGGAAGGGGCGCCCCAAAAGCGTGTGGATGGCGAGGCTGAGTCCTGGCATTGGGGGTTGCAGCGGGATGAGGTGGTGAGGATGCGGGAGAGAGGAGGGGAAAGGATGGAGCCACCCTCGGGGTGTCCCCCGCGGGGTCCCCACGCAGCCCCAGGGGTGCAGCCCCCCAAAACCGGGGCAGGCGCTGCCCCTCTCGAGGCCACCGCGGACGCTGTCCCTGCCGAGGAGCCCTGTCCCCGCAGGGACCTCCGTGGGGACAATGGCATGGCCGGGAGGGACACCCCGGGGACCCCAAGGCACCCCAAGGAACATCTCCGTGGCCAAGGAAAGCACTGAGGGAACCCCTGGGGACACGCCAGGGTGGATGGTGACTGTCCCCAGCACTGGGAGAGGGACAGGGCACACAGAGCAGCATCTGGGAACGGGAGGAGGAGGAGGATGGGACACCCCAGGGTGCACCCAGAGCCCTGCACTGTCACTGGGAGAGGGACAGGGCACCCCAGGGTGCACCCAGAGCCCTGCTCTGTCAATGGGAGAGGGACAGGGCACCCCAGGGTGCACCCAGAGCCCTGCTCTGTCAATGGGAGAGGGACAGGGCACCCCAGGGTTGCTCCTTCAGGGCAGGGAGTACCCCGGGGACACAGCCAGAGGCTGTCATTGTCACTGGGAGGAGGATGGAGCATCCTGGGGGAGCATCTCCAGCACTGGGAGGAGGATGGGGCATCCTGGGGATGCAGCTCCAGAGATGGGAGCAGGACAGAGCCCCTCGGGGCGCACCCCGAGTCCATCACATCACTGTGAGGAGAACAGGGCACCCTGGGGTTACACCTCCGTGCCCAGGAGAAGAACGTGGCACCCTGGAAACGCACCCAAATCCCATCATTGTCACTGAGAGAGGGACAGAACATCCCAGGGTGCATCCCTGGGGGTAGGAGAAGGACAGGGCATTCTGGGGGTGCACACAGAGCCCATCTTCAGCACTGGGAGAAGGATCGAGCACCCCAGGGGTGCGTGGCAGTGTCTGGGAGAAGGATGTGCATGGACCCAGAGCCCATCACTGCCGCTGGCAGAAGGATGTGACACCCTGGGGATGCATCTCTGGGGCTGGGAATAGGATGGGGCCCCTGGGGAAGCACCCAGAGCCCTTAATCAGCACTGGGAGAAGGATGTGGCACCCTGGGGGTGCATCCCCAGGGCCAGGAGAAGGATGGAGCACCCAGCAGTGCATCCAGGGGCCGGGAAAAGGACGGGGCCCCTGGGGAAGCACCCGCGGTCCATCATCAGCACGAAGAGAGGATGTGACAACCTGGGGGTGCATTCCCGGGGCCAGGAGAAGGATGGAACACCCATTCCGAGGCCAGGAAAAGGACGGGGAAGCACCCATCGCCCTTCTCCCGTGCTGGGGGACGGCAGAGCTCCCGGTCCCGCGGAAGGAGCCGGGATGGGCAGCCCTTACCTGCCCGTTCTTGCAGAGGTCGGCCCACATGCTGGTGCCGTCTCCGCCGCGCATGAGGACGTGGTAGGTGAAGAAGTAGGTGCCGGGGATGGCGCAGGTGAACTTGCCCGAGGCGGCGTCGTAGCTGTTGCCCAGGTTGGTGACCACGTCGTCGAACTTGAGCACCTCGTAGCCCTCGTGGGGGTTCTTGAGGCCGGCGTAGAAGGCGACCCGCGGCACCGTGCTGTAGGTGGCCGCGCTCACCGCGCCCGTAGCGCCCGGTCCCGGTAATCCCGGGGGTCCCGGTCTTCCTGCTTCACCCCGCGCCCCCACCGGCCCCGGCGGTCCCGGTTCTCCGGGCGGTCCCGGCGGTCCCGGTTTGCCCGGTCTGCCCGGTTTGCCTTGGGGACCCTGCACCAGGGTGGAGGGCGGCGGGAGGGGGCCGCGTTCGGCCGGTTGCTGGGGGGGGGCGGCGGGGCCGTAGGGCTCGCAGACCATCCGGCAGGTGCCCAGCATCTCGTACCGACCATCGGTACCGGCGGAGCTCACCAGCACCGGGATGAGCACCACCAGCACCAGAACCATCACCACCCCCGCCGCGGCCGCCAGCAAAGTTTTCCGGCCCAGGCTGAGCCGCCGCCCGGCCGGGGCGCGCTGGCGCCCGGGGGAGGGAATGGTGCCGGCGGGGGGGAGCAGGGCGGCGGCGGCGGCGGCGGCGGCGGCGGCGGGGGGGGGGGCTCGGGCTGGCGGCGGCGGCTCCGCTGCGCTCCGCTGCCTCCGGTGCGCCCCGCGCCGCACGGGCCACGCCCACCCCGCCGGGGCCACGCCCACCTCGCGGCAGGACACGCCTCCTCGATGCCGCCCATCCAACCCAGGACACGCCTCCGTCGGTGTTGACCACGCCCCGGGAGGGAAACTGAGGCACGGAGGTGGCATCGGCCCCGGCTGCCCCACTGACCCCTGTCCTCCAATGGGGGATCCCTCGGTGACCCGGCCCCGCGTGTCCCCACGCCAGACCCCGAGCACTGCGAGCGTCCCCGTGGAGCTGGGGACACTCCTGGAACCGGTCACTTGTGTCCCCACAGAAGAACACCCCCGGGGGTGATCCCCAGGGCCCGCCCCTACTCCCTGCCTCAGTTTCCCCTCCCACACTTTGGGACAGCGCAGGTGACACCCAAGCGTCCATCGCGGTCAGCCGTGGCTCCGTGGGATGGGATGTCACCGCTGGTGGCACGGTGACAACGGGACAGCCGCAGGTGCCACTGCCGGCGTGGCCGGGCTGCCCGAAAGAGCCGTGCCCGGGGCCGAGCCCCGGAGGGCTCGTGGCACGGGGACACGCGGCTGCGCCCGCTCCGTCGCCTGCCATCTCCATCAGCCTCGGCGGGGACAGCGGGACGCGATGGCAAGTGACAGGCGCCGCCAGCGCCGGGGGTGAGCGAAGGACGCGGGGATGGGGGAGGGCGACACGGACACACGGGCAGAGAGCGGCCCGGGGCCACTCCCAGTGCCGGCCCCACAGCGCTTGGGTGACAACGCCGAGGTGGCATCAGCCTCAGTGGCACCTGTGAGCTCCATAGGGTCATCAACCCCCTGCCCCCAAAAACGACCCTGGGGGTGCATCCCCTCATCCCCCTCGCTGCCAAAGCCCAGGGGACACACGGGGGACAAGCCCCAGCCCCGCCCCAAAAGAGGGGGAACCAAGGGGACTTTTGACAGCCATCGATCGCCCCCGCATGTCCCCCGGCTCCCGCAGAGGCTTTAATCAGCGAGCAGAAATCAATTAGCTACCTTTAAGGAGGCAATTATTCCTGGGGGCTTTACAAGGCTGGGGAGGGGGAGAGTATTTTGGGGTGGGGGTGCTGCCAGCTCTGGATCCCCTCCTCAAAGTTTGTTACCATTGTGTCACCAGCTGTTTCCCTGATGCTTTTCTCCATCATTTTTTGTCGCCCCCCCCCCCCCCTTGCACACCCCCCCATTCCTCGTTATCTTTCTGTTTTAACAAGTGCCTAAAAATACGCCTGGCGAGGTCACGGGCTGCGTGAGTCACCAGCAGCACGGGGACAGGGTGGCCCGGGTGGGCAGGGGGCTCTGCGTGGGGACAGGGTGGCTGTGGTGGGGACACAGAGGGAGGACAGGCCCACGCTGGCTGCATCAGGGCACTCATCTCACCTGGAGGCTCAGGGGACATCCCTGGTCCTGGCTGCTGCATCCTCGTGGCGGGGACACAGCCCCAGGTCACCTTGTTGCCACAGGACATTGAGTCCTCTTGGCATAGTCACCACCCCAGGACACTGCATCGCTCTGGGCCATCCTGTCCCCATGGCAAGGCCACCACCCTCGGCCACCATGTCCCCAAGCTGTGGCCCTACAGCCACAGAGCCTGTGGGACAGCAGCACTGTATGGGGAGTACAACACCCCAGGTGACACTGGGGTGCTCCCTGTCCCCAAGCCCCTTGAACCAGCTCCATGGGCACAGGGAATGGATGGCAAAGCTCCAAATGGTCACGGCCAGGAGTGCAAGAGGTGGGAAAGGGACAAGGAGGTGGCAGCAGCTGTGGCTGCCGTGGTTGTGGTGGCAGCGATGGCAGCAGCGATTGCAGTGACAGCTGTGACTCCAGTGGGAGTGGTGGTGGCCACAGTGGCTGTGGTGGCAGCGGTGGCAGCAGTGGTGACAACAGCGGCTGTCACAGCTGCAGTGGTTGCGGTGGTGGCTGCAGTGATGGTGGTGGCTATGGTGACAACAGTGGCAGTGGTGGCTGCAGCGGTTGTGGTGGCAGCAGTGGCGGTGGTGGCTGCAGGGCTGTGGTGGCAGGGGTGGCTGTTGCAGTGGTGGCTGCAGTGGTTGTAGTGGCGGTGGTGGCTGCAGAGGCTATGGTGACAGCAGTGGCAGCAGTGGCTGCAGCTTTGCAGTGGTGGCTGCAGGGGTTGTGGGGACGGCAGTGATGGCTGCAGCAGTGGCAGTGGTGGCTGCAGAGCTGTGGTGGCAGTGATGGCTGCAGAGCCGTGGTGGCAGTGGTGGCTGCAGCAGTGGTGGCTGCAGAGCCGTGGTGGCAGTGATGGCTGCAGAGCCGTGGTGGCAGCGATGGCTGCAGCTGTTGCAGTGGTGGCTGCGGCGGTGGCGGTGGCGGTGGCTGCGGCTCCTCTCGACGCCCGCCGCTCCTCTGCAAAGGTTAAGCAAACAGCAGCTCCCGCAGAATCGATGCCGGCCCAGCCCTCGGCTGTTTGCTTTGGCAACGCGGGCGGGGGCGGCTGGGCCGTGCTGGGGACGCCGGCAGCGGGGACGGGGACAATCGATGCTCCAGGGGCGCAGCTTGGGCCGGGGGTGGCTGTGCCCGGCACCTCCTGCTCGCTGTGGAACTCATGGAGGAGGGTTTGGGGAAGGGCACGGGTGGCCGGGCCAGGGCAGGGGGTTTGTGGGGGCTGGCACTGTGCTGTGCCTCAGTTTCCCCTCCTGGCATTGTGGCAGATGCTGCCCATAGGATCACACTTGGCCGGGGGGACAGGGACATTGTGCCACCGTGGCTCAGCCCAGGCGTGGCTCAGATGGAATTAAGACAGAGCTGGACACAACCAATGAGCCCAATGTTGTCTCACGGTGACGAGCAGCCATTTGCAGGCCCCAAGGAGTTTGGACGATGCCCCAAATTCCAACCGTGTCCTCAGGATGGGCTCTGGAAGGACATGGGACAGGGGAGGGGGACATTCAGCTGTGGGCAGGGAGGTCCAGCTGCCTGCTGGCCTTGAAGGACACGTGGATGGCCGGGTGGTGAGCTTGGTGCTCACCAGTGCTTGGTGGCCAGCTGGCTCACCGGCACTGAGGGGGCTCGTGGGACACCCAGGCGGGCTGGGCTGGATGGTGGCTCGGTGTCCTGGCCGGCCAGTTGGCTGATTGGCTGATTGGCTGGCTGGCCAGTAGGCCACCAGTCTGTCCAGCTGTCCATCTGCTTGTCTGGCTAGCTGAGCGGTTGGCTGGTGGCCAGCCAGCACCATCCCAGCATGTCCCAGCCCAACGCCAGGCACTGTCCCTTGCCCAGCGGGGAGAGCCCGGCCGCAGGCAGGGGGAGGGCACAAGGTGTGGGTGGCACATCCCCGTCGCTGTCCCCGTCACGCTGCCTCTCATTACGGACACGGCGGGGCTGTCACCCTCCCACCGCGCGGCAATTAAGGGCTGCCAACACCGGCAGTTAATTAGCGCCGGCGGTGAGCGCTGCGAGGGGACGGCGCACGGCTGGCGGAGGGGACGGGCTCGGGGATGTGTCCCCAGGGGGAGCAGCCCTGGGGGATTTGGGGTGCTGGGACAGCTGTGCTGTCGCGGGGGCGGGGTGTGGCACGGAGGGGGTGCGCAGTGACAAGGGGGTGCCAGCGATGGGGTGTGCAGCGGTGGCACCGGGAGCGTCCTGCACGGTGACGGTGTGTGGCACCCCGGGCTGTGCAGTGATGGTGACGGTGGGTGACACGCCGTGGGCCGTGCAGTGACAGTGACACTGGGTAATCCACTGTGGGCCGGCAGTGACGGTGACAGTGGGTGACACCCCGTGGGCCACGCAGTGACATAGCATTGTGTGACAGCCCCAGCACCAGGCGCTGACGGTGACTCTGTGTGACAATCCACAGGAGCTGCGGTGACACTGCGTGGCACCCGGCGGCCCCACAGTGACAGTGACACCCTGTGCACTGCGCGGTGACAGTGACACCATGTGACACTCCGGGGAGCAACAGTGAAGCTGTGCAGCACCGCAGGGCTGCGCAGCAGCTCCGTGTGACACGAGTGGGGCTGTGCAGCCACGGTGACACTATGTGCCACCCCAGGGAGGTGTGCAGTGACACTGACACTGTGCCACACCCCGGGGGCCGTGCAGTGACAGTGACACCTGTGACAACAGACACCATGCAGTGACACTGGTGACACCACACTCACCCCAGCCCGACCTGCTCCCCTTTGTGGCTACTGAGGCGCCCGTCCAGTTCACACCTGGGGACATGTCCCATGGGGGGACATCACCCTGTACCTGCAGCTTCATGAGGGGACATCTGACCCCACCCTCTGCCCCAGCGGCTGTCCCATGGAGGGTGTGCCAAGGAAGGGGGGCTCCAGGAAATGGGGTACACCAGGGAAGGGGGTCTCAAGGAATGGGGTACACCAGGAAAGGGGGATCCAGGAATGGGGTACACCAAAGAAGGGGGGCTCCAGGAATGGGGTACACCAAAGACGGGGGGGCTCCAGGAATGGGGTAGAGCAGAGAAGGGGCGCCCCAGGAAGGGAGTACTCCAGGGAAGGGGGATCCAGGAATGGGGTACAGCAGGGAAAGGGGGCTCCAGGAATGGGGTACACCAGGGAAGGGGGGCTCCAGGAATGGGGTACAGCAGGGAAAGGGGGCTCCAGGAATGGGGTACACTACGGAAGGGGGCTCTGAGGAATGGGGTACACCAGGGAGGGGGTGCTCTGTTAAGGGGGTGCTCCAGGGATGGAGCTCCAAGAAAGGGAGGTTTCAGGAATGGGGAAGGGGATGCTCTGAGGAAGGGGTGCAGAGGAGAGGGGGTGCCCCAGGAAAGGGGTGCACTGCGGAAGGAAGTGCTCGGGGGGGCTGCTCCGGTTCGGAAGGGGGTGCAGGAGCAG